GCTCAGCAAGATCAATACCAATCTCCCCTCCATTCCAGATGCCGCCTACGTGCCTCCAACGCCTAGCTATGCCATTTCTCCTTCGGACCCCATTCCAGCTGGGTACGTGACGCATGCTCGGGACGCCTGTGTGAAGATCGATTTTCAATGGGACAGTATGCACGGGGAGCAGAACTGGGGTGACGGAGGCGAGTACGGCGAGGAATGGAGTACGATGCATACGCGGTTCAGTACGGGGCTCGACCGCATGCTTGCGTGGTATCGGGACTACGAGTCAACTTCTTCCGGTCGGCCTCGACGACATTCTCAGATGCTCGACAGTTCTGGCGAAGCCAGTTCCCGCAGTGAAGCGGATGACGATACGGAGACGATTTTGGTGTTGATTACGCACGGCGCGGGTTGCAATGCAATGATCGCAGCACTGTCCGGGGAGCCATCCCAAGTGAATGTCGGCACTGCATCTCTCACCTTGGCGGTCCGCAATGATCACATGCCCGAAATGGCTCAAGACGATACCATTGGCGGACCAGTTCGGACCAAGGGATCCAACGAGCCATCCAGCGTGGAGAGTTATGCCATGAAAATGGTGGCTTCAACCGAGCACCTCCGCATCGCTCCCAGCACGTCACGTGTCTCCTCCCCGAGCCAGGTGACCTCCCCCTCAATCTCGTCCTACCGACACCGTCTAGCAAACCGCCCATCGCTGTCACAAGGCATGTTCATCATTGGGCCCTCGTCGACATCCGGCCCCAGCACTGTTCCCTGGAATGCCGAACGACCCTCTACGGCTGTCACTCCTAAGACCTCAGGGCTCTGGGGATCCAGCGCCGCCGATGGCCCAGAGGACGATATCGTGCCTAACTTTGGCTGGCCTGCCCCGGCGCCGCCGGTCCAAGGGGAAAGCTCGGTCCAGGCCAAGGTGGATGAACCGACGTCTGCCAAACAAGTGCCACAGCGAACACTTTCCCAGCGCGGACTCTGGGGGAGCGCGCCGCTCAGCAAGGACCGTGAAGCGGGACACAAGCGTCGGTGGACTGTGACTGAACGACGACCATGATGACGCCAAGTGGAAATAATATTAATTGTATCTTTCGGGTTTGTTTCTTAGGCTTGGAGTTTGGGATGAGACCATCTAGCTAGATTGCATAGTTTTGGGTTTGAATAGCGGTTCATAGCTGACAGGAGTTAATATACCCTTGCTGATACTGAATACCACTTACGATTATGGTGCAGAATTGAAGTAGGTAATAAGTAGCAGTCCACTGGATTAAATCATTAGAGGCCATACAGATGTCTCTCAAGTGCTGAGACGAACATCTGATTCAGTAATTATACACTACTACTACCCTAACCATGATTCCATTCCACAAGTCACCTCCCAAATCCTCAAAGCACTCGAAAAATATCGACCATCTTTAATCCACACCGCACAATTGCTACACATGCACAATTTCACTCTACCAACAATAAACCAATCATCCCAAAATAACACCAATCCCAGAATCCAATTCCACTAATCTCAACCCCTAAAACTAGAATACAATGACAAATATAGTACAACACCTCTCATCCCAGATCCAATCACCAAACCCCTCCTCTCACCTCTAATCCACCACCGACAATCATCTAATACAACAACTTACACTCCCAATTCTCCGCCTCATCCGGATCCCCCTTCCCAGTATACTTCGCCTGGTACGGATAATGGCAAACGGGTCTCTGCCTAAGCACCTCCTGAGCATTGGTGGTGTTCTTCCACACCGTCGCAACAATACTATCCGGCGCCGTGCCATTCTCCACCCACGCCATCATGGCCAGGACCACATCGTGCTTGGCGTCCCTGTATCCGGGGACACTCCACGTCGAGGTGTTGATGTAGGATGCTTGGTCCGCGCCGGCGATGTACCACGGGGCGTTCATGTCCGTGGGGGTGTTGTAGCAGTGTCTTTACCAATTACATATTAATTAGCATCGACCTTTCTCGAAAAAGAAGAAGAGAGAAGGAAAGAGAAAGAGAAAAGGGGTGGGTAAAGGGTATACGCACTCCATGCCCGGGATCAAAAACAGACGATAGAAATCATCCACGTCATCGATGCCGTTAGCCTGCACGGCACTCTTCGCCTGGTCGTAGTAGAACGTGCTCGCTCCAGGAGAGACATAACTATCCGAGAGACCATGATAGTGGATGAATTTCCCACCGCGTTTCTCGAACTCGCTAATGTCGTATTGTCCTGCCGTCGCGTTACCGGGGTTCACGTGGTCAGCTAGCTCGACGGTGCTGTAGTCGAGGTCTTGCCAGACGAAGGAGTCACCCAGGCCCATGAGATCACGGAGGAACCAGTATTGCTGGGAGATGGTCGACTCCTCGCCGAGACCGATGTTGCCCTCGAGCCAGGAGGATTCACTTCCGTAGAAGAGGTGGCTGTAGACGAAGGTCTGGTTGGTGTCGACCCAGTCGTTGTAGATCTTGTACAGGGTGTTGAGTTGGTTCGTGGTGAGGCAGGTGTTGGGTGCGCTGGTGGAGTTGCAGGCGAGGGTGGATGGGTTGAAGACGCAGCCCTCCGGGTTGGAGATGATGTTGTCAACCAGGCCGTCTTGCGGGTCACATTGGCGGAGGACTTCGGCGGCCAGGACGGAGAACATTTCCTCGGGGATGGTGTGGGAGCTGTTGGCGGGGGCTTGGTAGGTCGTTTGCTTCAGGTTGTAGAGCTGCTGGTGCGTGGTCCACCAGGCGGGGGCACCTGCGATGATCCCGTCGTAGTCGTCGGGGTACACTTGCATGTTCTTCATGCTTTGGCGACCGCCGGTCGAGCATCCGTAAAAGTAGCTGTAGGCTGGGCCGCTGCCGTAGCGGCCAGAGATTAGGAGCTTCGCCAGCGTGGTGGCGCCGTGCCAGGCGCGGTAGCCCCAGTCGATTACGGCTTCAGGGCGACCGAGTGCCCAGGTTCCGGCTGTGTCGATGCCTTCGTGGCCGAGGTTGCTGGAGACGGCGGCGAAGCCGTAGTGCGTGCCGGTTCCCTGTCGGGGAGTTTAGTGGGTGTGTTTGGTATGGGGGTAGGTAGGGGAGGGGAGTACCATGTCAACCCAGTTGATGCCTCCTCCTGCTGCTGCGGAGCTGGGAAGTGTTAGTATAGGCGGTATTGGTATAGAATAGCGTAAGGGGTGGGAAGCTTACAGCATCCGTCCGTTCCAGTTGTATGGGAAGATCACACCAACCAAGTAGCTGGAGTTACCCTCGGACGCGACGTTGACCTGCACAGCACACGACTCGGGCAGGCCTGTCGGGTACTCGGACGCGGAGGTGTAGTTCATAGGGTTGAGAGAGCCACCCTCTGGGATGTAGGTGGCCCATTGAACGCGCGCTTCAGTGCCATTGGCATTGATGATCTTCTGGAATGCAGATGCGGAGCAGTTGGTGCTGGAGATTGCAGTGGCCGCGGTGAATCCCACGAAGGGGAAGGCCGCCAAAGGGATCTGGTACCTCATGTTGTAAGTGAGGTGCGGTCAATTGGATGCTGGAATGAGCTGCTGATGAGGATAGAAGACCAGCGGAACTCTCTGCTATTTATGTGCCATGGTGGTTATTGAGCAGAAGTAGACGCGTCATGTCTTCTGCAGAAAGACGGGACGAAGTATCGTACGGCATGGAGGTGGATGATGCGGTGTTGGAGTGGTGAGATGATCTTCAGGCACGTTGCTTGATTCAGAGATGAAGACCGAGGATAGACATAGACTCGTCATGTCCGATAATTAATTTTATGGGGTTTCCATCTTCTCGTGGTCTAAGGAGCAGTGTTCCATGGTCATCAGTTCATGCTTGATGGTTGTGTCAAACAGGTATCACACAGACTTATAAAATGACTTCCAGATTTGAACCTTGTATGTACATTGAGTGCAACAACCCTGAATAAGCGTCCGGGCGTACCCCAGATGGACAGGGAATAGTTACTCCAAAAGAAGCTTCAAACGGCGAGTGGATCTCCGATCTGATAAGGCGGCGCTGCGGAGACTAGTCTACTTCAGGTATGGATGATCGTCGTGGAGATACCCTCTGATAAAAGTGGAATTACTCCAGCAGGGCATCAGGGATCAGTGTGTTCGAGATATTATTCACCAGTCCAAGTACAGTCTAGCTGCAGACCTGATACATGCGATCGTCATAGCATTACCTGATCGCATCCAGCATCGTACTATTATTCGCTCTGCTAACTCCGAGGCTAATGAGCTTCTTTGAGCTTAATTCGCCGGTGTGCATATTTCCTCTCCATCTGAGCTTAGTAGCCACTTGATCATTTAGGCATCAGAATAAGCATACACTCAAGTTCTATTTAAGTTGTATATCCCGCAATAACAGATCGTATGAAGTAAATGAAGAGACATCCCGCAGTGGAGATCAAGGCACCTGCGCTGCCGTGTCCTAGCCCTATCGAGCCTGCTAGGGTTGGGATATACCTGCAGTATTGCGGAACCGTTTTCATTTCTGCTCGGGAAGACATGGCTCTTTAAATCTCTGACGCCCATGCTTGAAGGATAATTCCTCCAAGTCCACACCTAGAAAAATGGCGTCTCAACCACAACTGTGCCTAACTTTGACCTTTCAAGGAAGGGAAATTCCTTGGACGACATTCGGGATATGTCTTTACTTCAAGAGCGGCTAAACTTAAATATGCATCGAGAGACATAAAAAACTATGTTGTAACAAGGAAGTGCCAAAGACAAAGTGTATAACACGGGCTATTACCGCTGCCGTAACTGGGACGAGAGGACACTGCCGATACGTGCCGACTAGGGGCAAATGTTGACTATCAGTCTTTAACAACATAGCCTAGTCAGTTCTCATTCTTTAATATAAATACTACATATATATGGGGCTATCGAGTGCGATCTCTTCATGGCTATACACTCAGCATCGACAAAAGCAATATACCCAAAAATCAGCCCTGTCTCCTACCAGCCCCTTCGAACACGCAAATCTCATCTTAGACAGCGGGATTCAAGCCATGGAAATTGTATACCTCGGCAGTCGATTGCGTAGTGACAACTTCAGAGACTATCCAATTGAGCTCCTGTTCCACCTCGAACAATGCCTCCGGTTACCGGTGAGAGAAGCCCTCAATTTGCAGGATGTGCCCGACTTTTTCGAGATCATGAAAGATAATGCTAAGAAAAACCTTGGAGATCCTTTTCCGTTTGACCGCACGCAGCCTATTGGTAATTATGAGGACACCGCATTGGCATACCGCAAAAGCATCTGTGACCTTGAAGTGCCGACGTGCCTCTTCGAGCCCACATGTTCTGGTGGTGTGGTCGACATGATAAGGAAGGGTGACGTTCAAGGACTCGAAAAACGGCTTCAAGAGGGCCTGCTTCCCAATGGACTCAGTATAGCGGGGTTCTCATTGCTCTCTCTAGCGGTGGTACATATGCAAGTTAAGTGCGTTGAGCTACTGCTGAGGTATGCTGCATCCCCCAGTCTGAATGGTTACTGGTTCGCTGCAAGGCCACTTGACTATATCATGCCCGCTCCTTTGAGTTACAGCTGTCGCGACCATAAAGCCATTATTCAAATGCTGGTCAACGCCGGAAGCTCCTTTAGCTATACCAATGTTCTCGACAGTATATTTCTGTATGATGACATCGATCTCCTGCAGAGGGTTCTGGATGAGCCCCCTGGTCTCTTAGCTAATTGGCCACGTAGTGGCTTTGAGTTCATATTACATCGTCTGGCAAGGCATGGTAAGGGTTGTGATGAAATCATAGACTTGATTGCCTCCAGAGCACCTGAGGCGGCTCGTCAGGTAACTGCTATGGGCTGTACCCCTCTACACTATGCAGTTAGAAACAAGAATGATGTTAACATGGTTAAGAAGTTGCTTCGCTTGCCCATTTACCTTTCGGCGCTGGATTACAACCAAATTTCAGCCCTCGCTTTGGCTGTCGGCGAGAACCACGTGGAAGCCGTCAAAGCTATGATCGGCCACCCAGATATTAACTTGCTGCAGCTTCATGAAGTATGGGATTTCAATATGACCCCATTGGGTCAAGCTATGGGGCAGCGCAATCACACGCTTATGATCATGCTGCTTACTCATCCACGTATGTGTCTCACAAAAAGTGCCCGAGATGCGGCGCTTGTTAAGGCAAGGGAGCTGGGGCTTGATGATGATTTGATGGAGCAAATCGGTAGACTGTAAGCTTGATCCCAGGACCATGAATCCTGGTTGTATCGATGTATTGCAGGCCCATAATGAATCTTACCCCCGAAAAAAAAAAAAAAAAAAAAGGTGTTTTCTCGCTCAATATGAATATCGCATTTAATTAGTGGCTCCAGAATTTGATAATTGACTAGCTTTGTGTATCATTAATTGCGAAGGAATATCCGGCCACTGCCAGGAAACTCAACCTATGTAGCACTGGTCTTCTGCTCGGGTAAGGTAGAAATGAAGAACACCAGAATTACCATAGTATGCCCTGTAGCCATTGGTAGCGGCAATAGTACTTGCATCCACGTAGCGGAAACGCCGCGTTGATGCTTGATCACCTGGGATGACCAGATTGCCAGGAGCACCGTGGAACTTGATTTTGTGGACCTACCCATGGCTAGTTAGAAATGTTGGACGGCAGAACGCAAGCACTGTTTGACCTTCTCGGCGTCTTCATCGAAGTCCATGGTACTCAATAGAGGAAGGATGTCCTCCGCTAACGCTTGTGCAGGATGCCCCGTATCAATGACATGCATATCCCATTCACCTTCCAGGGAATTGGGATCGACTGGCTCCAGCTCGTTGTAGACATGATCAACCTCTGCAGGGTCCAACTGCTCCAGTGCGTTCGCAAGGCTGATATATTTGTCGGCCGCGCTTCTGGTCCATGAATTATAAGGGTGGTGTGGAAGAGAGAGAGGTGCTAACATACCGTGCCATCAATTCCACTAAGTTCACAATGAAGGCCGTGAGAGAATGCAAGAATATCAGTCTTACCTTTGTACACATGAGGGGCCAGTGTTACTTATATAGTCGTGGAAGTAGTATAGAGCTGGCGCCGCGATCGCAAACTCTAACTTTATTAGACCTTCCATGGCCAAGTATCTCGGGGGATGGGATCAGGAATCCGTTGTTGTGACCATGGTACAGCAAGCGTTTTGATTCCGGGGCGCATGCCAAACAGAGCCTCTTGCGTAATTTGTGGCAAGCATGACATTGGAAAATCTCATTCCAGAATTAGCCCGTTATGCTAACCTTCCTGCGAATATGAGCTCCGTAATCAAGGTCTTGGGGGTGGATATATGTGTGAACTGGTGAGTGGTCAATGTCTTCACAAGTTGAAGCATGGCTACCAATATGGGAGCAGATAGCTGGCCCTAACAAGACCGTTTCTGCAGATTAGCCTTTTCAAAAGGCGTATAGAAGGAACAACAGGCAATCATTGCCTTCTCATCAGCGAGGGCCTCTGGAGGTAGGGCATGACGGAATTGATAAGTCGTACTTGCCACCTTAATATGCAGCAGACCTTCGTACTAATAGAATTGTGGAAGTTTCCGATCTGGTGAAGGATGCTCACGGATATTTTCTCTTTCTTTACAAGATCAGAAGTATCTCATAATAATTAAGTAAGTAATTTTATTAGATAATCTCTAGTTATAGATCAGCTTTTCTATTACTTTATAGCTTACTTTTATATCAAATTAATTCTTATCTTCTTGAAATTTTCTCAGGAAGAAATTATATAGATTTTATATTAGTAAAAGTAGTTAGTCTGGCGATAATATAATAATTTATTTATATTTTGATGTGAATGTGTAGGACCCGCAAGCCTACTATATAAAACCGTTACCTCGGTGCGTGACTGTTACGCAAATCGTAGGAGTAGCCCAGCGATGCTCGATACTAGATCCAGCTGCTATGTCTATACCGCCTTCTTGACTATACCTCGAGATCCAGTACCACATGCACTCCTCAGACCTGAATGTCAAAACAAATTGGATAATCTTTGTTTTAGATACGATGTCCTGGTATTTATGCGGATAACCTATATGTTCTGAGTCGTAAGTAGAAGTGGTTTGTGATCAAAGCACTACTGCTTTTGTATAGACTAGCAGGCAATTGTTGATAGGCTTTAAGATCAGTCGAATATATTCGTCGCTCATTCTCGGGTGTACTAAGTACGTCTGGAGACAAGCTGTGAGTGTGGTTGTCAACATCTGCGTGTTGTTAGGAGCTGACATTCATTGCCAGATATGTGACTGATCATTAAAACCCCCGTATCATTCAGTTGAAACAACAGAGCAGGGAGAATTAAATAGGGGTTTCATACAGAGTTAGAGAAGGTTGGTCTTCGGACAATATCTCTCGAGGAAAATCGTCCTTGGTCGCTCTTCATCCGTGCCAAGTCGCGGAGAGCACAAGACCGGTTGTTTTCGAGGATGACTCAACGTACTATTTCATTTGATCAAAAATGAGAGATATCTGGTCTGGTGTTCAGGATATATAGTGGATGAGGTGTTTGAATGAGTATTTGGGATCAATGCCGGCAGTGACAGCGGTCTTGATAACGCAACTATTTGGCCACAACAGCACCTTAAGCTAGTTGTGTAGTTAATCTTAATGTAGTAAAGAATGGCGCGCAGAAAGTAATATGACTGGCATTTGTCTTGTTTTGAAATGCCACAAGTCCATATTATCCTACCCTAACGAAGGCTTCGAATTCCTCGAGATTTATAAGTAAAACCCCATTATGACAACAACGCCAATGGGAAGTAATCCAGATCGTCTAAGTAATGGTAAAAGCGTACGCATATCAGGCATAAAGCGATAGTATATCAAGGTTTCAAGATGATCTGGATCGATCCAAATTAAATGAAGCAATGACTTAAAATTAGTAACAGGGGCCCCGCATCCCATGACGAGGCCACTAGTCCATATCGGGGCTAGTGGGCATCCAACCTCCGGGATAATTTAATTGATTCATGGTTTGTTGCTCGATTTCCTGCCACTGCATTTTAATCCAGCTGAGATTAACATCCATGACTTGCAGGTGTTAAATACTTTTTCCCCCTTTCTTTCCCTGCAATGTTAACCTTCAATTAAACTCTCCCACCCTCATTCTTTCCTCCCTACCCCGTCATTCCTTTCCCTTTCTCCGAGTCTGACAATGACTTCTTCCCGCCGCAACGGGCAAGCTCTGCCATGTGAGCCCTGCCGCAAAGCCAAAATCCGCTGCGATAGTGCCACCCCAACATGCCAGAATTGTGTCCGTCGCGGTAAGGGAGACAGCTGCGTATACACGCCCGTTCCGGCTTCTCGCACCTGGTACTCGGACAATGCTCCCTCACCCACCGCATCACCACGTCCCCAAACAGCCCAACCCCGCCCCGACTCCGCTGCTCTCCAGAACCGAGCCTCATTCAACGCCGGCGACGACAAATTGTCTTTCGATTTCGCCACCAATAATTCGGCGACATTCAGCGACATTGGCGACCAATTCAAACGCTCTCTGGTCATCGATGCGCCCTCCGCGGCTCGGCCCGATACGAAGCAAATCCAGCTTGGCGCTCGACTGCTCACTATGCTGTTCGAGCATTTCGCGTTATATGAGCGACTGTCTGAAACGGCAGTCGAGGTGTGGCCTGAGGGATGTGTCCTGGGTCATCGGCTGGTGAGCGGGATGTTTGAGGCGTTGGAGGATTTGCATGGGGCGCTGGCTGCGGATGCGAAGGACTTACAGTCGAGTTTGCTTCGCTGGTCGCAGAAGATCTTTGATGATAGTGCTAAGCCGCTGGCTGTTCAGCCGACTATGTCGCCAGAGGACTATATCCGTCGAATTTCTGGACGATGGGAGGGTATTGGACTGGTGTTTACGATTGTTGGTCAGGGCGCTATGCTTGAGCGGGATTGGAGGTCTATCCGTTCCAGTGAGGCGAATGTGCCGAGGGATCAGAAGTCGCTCGCTGCTCAGGCAGTTAGTGCGAGCGATACTTGTTTGCAGTTCTGCGATCTTTCTACGGCGGTCAATGATCCGTTGGGATGGCTACTTTTTCAGCATATTCATCTGCTAACGCTGGTGTGCGGTGAGAATGGTATGTTCTTCTCTGGTCTGTTCATTTGGGTATTTGGGGCTTTGCTAATTGAGATATAGATCCTCGAGCGTGGAGAAGACTGGCCGATCTTTCGACGACGGTCTTTACCCTGAGTCATAATGCACCTGAAGAGAAGCGCATTCCATTCTTCTTGCTTGAACTCCGCAAGCGACTAGTTGCCGGGGCTTACAGTATTGACAAGCAGCTGGCAACTTTCTTGGGAAGGCCTCCTCAGATTAGCTGGCGCTACTACGATGTGCAGTTTCCTCTGGACTTGAGTTACGAAGAAATTCTGGCGGAGCCAAAGGTCCGCGAGGCTGCCATCAGCCTGCTTGACAAGACTGGCTGGAATACCCAGGGGATCGTGGGACAGGCTGCGTGGATGCGCATCGCCCTTCTTATTGGATCTACGAGAGAACAGATTCTTGAGCTATCTTTGAGCCGACGTATCGAAGAGTTGCCGCGCAAAGTCCAGTAAGTGTGCCGCAGTTCACAAGTAACGATTGCAGAATTGCAGATCAATGCTAATGTGCATCCTAGGGAGGTGTCGCAGCAATCTCACAAGACGTGGAACGACTTGCCCGGCTTCCTCCGTTGGCGCCCGAGTGATCCGGACACCAACGATAGCAGCGTTCTCGTTCCATTGTATCTCAACTTCCTCTACAATGACTTCCTCCTCTACCGCGTTCTTGTGCGCCGGGCACAAAGTGGATCCGAGGGTCTAGTCAGTGTGTCACAGAACATTCTCAGCACGATCCTTGAGCTTATCGGCAAGGAGATCGGCTCGAGAACGGGAACTTACAACGTTGGATATAATGTGCGTGCTGTTACCCCTTCACTTCTTGCCCTCTTATGCTTACATGTCCTTAGGCCGCATCTTTCGGTGTTCCAGCGGCCGGCGTTCTAGCAATCGAGCTGCTCTGCCAAGCCGAATCCCAATCCCAGCTTCCCGCCACCGTCTTCCGGCGATCGGAAGTCATCCAGAAACTGACCGTCTTCGCTTCGCACCTGCAGTATGTTGTCCGCCCGCATGATGGAATGTATGAGGTCTGTCAGCGCGCAAGAAGGGTCATCTCCAGTATTCTGGATCGTATCCTAACAGTCAATCCTCCCGCACTG